ATTGTGTTCAATGGGGGGGGGGGAAGAAAATATGCATCTAAGCTGACTTTCAGCACTCTATCCATATTGTTCTTATCTCTGAAAGATTACTCCTGCTGGAGCGTCTGAAACTAGGTTGTCCCTATGGAGAGTTTAAGACACTGAATTAAGGTACTGGCTGGCCCACTCCTGTCTTGCACCGGAGTGCAAGTATCTGTTTTCTAACCTTAATTTTCAAAAGTTACAGATAGCTTGCCTAGTGTCCTATTTCCTCTGTTTTGTCCAGTTCCCCTTAAACTCCAAACCTGGAGCAGCTGGACCTTGGTCAGATCTGCAAAGACATGGAGAGTCTCCTTCCAGGCACCTCTGCAGCCACGCCTGACACCCAGTCCTCAGGTCTGGTCCCTAAGATCTACCAATCCCCAACCGTCTGACCTTCCAAGGAGGGACCTAGCTTCTGGGCCCTGGGCCCCTGCATCAGGTCTGATGGGCTCCCTTCCCATCGCAGAATCACCTGGAGAGCTTTTTAGATATGCAGATACTTGGGTTTCACCCCAAATGATTAAATCAAGACCCTCTTAGAGGTGGATACAGGGTACTGGTATTTTAATTTTTGCTTTCGGGTAAGTCTTATGTATGCAGGGGTGAAAGACAGTGCTCAGTACCCATTTCTCTCGAGTTTCAAAGTGCATACACAAAACCTGTGATGTTAAAGTAATTTGTTTGTTCAGTAGGTCTGGGTTTAGGGCCTGAGATTTTAACATTTCTAAGAAGATCCCAATGATGATAATAATGTTGGTCCATAGACAAGCAGCAAGGCTCAAGACTGGCGTCTCAAAGTGTGGTCAAGGATCACCTGTAGACTTGTTAGAGATGCAAACTTTCAGGCCTAAGACCTGCTAACTCAGAAGGCAAGTATTTGACTTGCCTTCCAGGTGACTCTGATACTTTGCAGTTTGAGAAACATGGGTCTAGATAACTCTGCCTTAGAGCAAGCCACATATGCAATTTAAAATTTTCTAGTTATATTTAAAAATATATAAAAGAAAAAATAACATTAATTTTAACAGAATACCTAATTTAGCCCTATATGTCTAAAATGTCATTTCAACATAAAATCATATAAAAAATAAAATAATGCCTTAAATTCTTTTTTGCATATTAAGTCTTCAAAATCTAGAGTGTTTTAAACTTGACATCTTAGTTCTGATTAGCCACATGTTAAGTGTTCAACAACCATTATACTGGGTAGTCGAGTTCTGGACTGCTGTAGGTAATACTAGTATTAATCTTTATCAAATCCTTGTCATGTTTCATTTACCTCAGTCAAAAGTAGTTTGAAATGTAGTTACTTCACCAATAAAATGGGTTTATTCCTCCAGAACAAAAGTCAGCAACCCTGACATAGGTTTTAGTAGGGACTGTTGCTGGACAAAAAGGCATCTCTACATTCTTCTGTATATGGGCAAATGAGGTACCCCAAAATGTTAGAGGATGTACTCTCTAAAAGAGGCAGAACCATTCATATACACAAAGCAAAGAAAGTAAACTCTTAGTGTGATCTGTTTTTAATAGCATTGGAGTGTGTGTGTGGAGAGAGAGAACAGATTTCAAATAACATACTTCCAATAAAACTTCAAAACTTACCCATTTCCTTGTGGGAGAATGCTCATTCAAAAAGGAGACCTCCTGAACCCTGAGCCCCAAAACCTTACCATAAGTCCAAGATATCATGTGGCAGAGAACTAGAGGAAAGGGTCTAGGCTGGTCCCAGAGAGCTGAAACAGAAGGAGACTGAAAATTCAAAATCTACCACATAGTCCAACATGAGGTCAAGATAACAGTTGCCATTGTCTGTGCCAAGGCCCAGGGACAGCCTCCCCGCGTGTCTGTGACCTGTGTGTCTACATGTCCCTCCTCCATATACCTCTTCCAAGTCCCTTGTCACATGTGTTACTCCTCTATTTGAATATCTCCCTCAGTCTCCCCAGATGCTTCCCCATTCAGGAAGGGTGGTTCATGGCATACTGAAACCTGTAGTCCCAGGCACTGGCATATAAGTGGAGGCAGGGAAAACGGAGCCCATGCCATGCTCCACTCCTGTCCTGGAGATGTGTCTTTAATACTTCCACTGAGATAGGGAAGTAACATCACTTTCTGAAAGAAATGTGAGGCACGTTGTGTTTGTAGTTTGCTGATTGTGCATTCACGGGACCTCTCCTCTGGACCCTCAACATTATTTAAATAGGGTTTCTTTTGGCATTTAATTTCCACAGCATCATACATTTTGTTTTCATTATTTATACTAGCCTAACCACAACTCTGCGGAGTGGTTATTGCCCCATTTTATACAGTGAAGGAATTATGTGAATGCCATGTTTTGTGTTCACCAAGATAAGGAGCCCAATAAGAAGTCTTTTTCAGTTACTTTTAGGTCAATTTATTTGTGAAAATGACAAACTATGAATAAAATCATTAACAATACAATTGCTAAGCAGACATCAATACTTTATAAAATTTATAGTAGATGGTTAAGTCGAAATGTACTAGTTTACTATCCTATAACCTTTTTAAACTAAATTCAACTTGCACTCCCTTGTGACTTCAAATTGGTTGAAGGTGCTTGTTGACAGGCTGCTGGTCAGTTGGGATTCCTTGGGGAGCAAAGGAGACAGTTGGCTTGTGGCAGGATCGTTAATGGAAGCAGTTAGCAGGGTCATAGTTGGTACATTTCAGTGCAGATTGTGACATGAAATCACCAGTAATGGTTAAATGTTCCATGGATATTGTTTGATGCAGAAAGCATAGTGTGAAATTTAAAAATAATAGTTGACTTAGTGGTCAAATAGTTGATCTTTGTTTTGTTAACTCTCACCGTTTTCAAAGAAGGCCAATGTTTAATGTATTTTCATTTTCAGTATAAACTACTACCAGGTGGAAAAAATAAAAACAATTTAAAAAAATTCTCTCTAAATCTATCTGCTCTAAGTCATATACAATGTCATTAACTAACATCACCTCAATGTTAAAAAATAATTTTAAAAAATCAGAATTCCAATCTATTTCAGAATAAAGTGCAAACTCCTAAAAATAATTCTGAGTAAGGCAAAGTTCATATTACTACTTATCACTGTGTCCAAGTAAAGTTAAATGTCCAATATTAAGCTGTCAGGGGTTTAAGACATGTTAAAATGTGCCCATTTAGAGTTACTGAAAAGAACAAAATAATGCATTTTTCTAATGATAATTTTTAAAACCCTGCTATATTTTTAAAATACAGTTATTTTAAATTTATTTTAGATGTTTCTAATTTGCAGTTTTTAAACATACCTATCTCCATCATTTTAATATAAATGTATTTTGCTGAAGGATTTCATGAATGTAACTCTTTTGATATTTACCATGCATTATTCTCAGTATTTCTGATACTCAGTATTTCAGTTCCAGTGATTTTATTTACAAAAAACAAATTGGATTTGATCTATCTCCAGTCATTAACCTTCACACTGTTAACTATCAAGTCTTAAAAAATATATAAGATATTTTTTTAAAAGTGCTTTTTATACTGAACCAGGATCAGAATATCTTCTACCTCTTCATTTCTTAGCAGTATTTTCAGACTATTTAAGCACTTTCTTTGTTAAGGGGAACAAGAAGTTGAAAGGTTTTCAGCTACATAGAATAAAGACTTTCATGAAAGTACTAAGTGTTTCCTCAGTAGGAAGTAAATAATTTTCCTGGTTTGGAGTGTTATAAAAGGCACAATAAAGCAATGGAAGGCGGAGGTTGGCTTGGCGGTGCTTGGTTTCCTCTCCCGTCATCACAGAGACATCTCCATCTTGAGCTACTAGGACCCAAATTATCTTGTTATGTGAAAAAAGAAAAAAAAAAGAGAGAGAGAGAGAGAGAGAGAGAGATTGTAAAATAAGAAATTCTATCTTTAAGAATAGATTTGAACTAGTAATGAACTTAATGTAACATATATACATGTTGATTCTCAGCAACACCTGAAAATTCTCAGCATTGTCTCTTCAATAAAAAAAAAAAAGTTTTAATGTCTGTCCTTATTCTTGCTGTGTTTGTGTTCTGTGAATAATCTTCCAAGGCAAGGTTGCAATGTCTTTTGCTCATTATTATGTTCTTAGGGTCCCTGGTGTGTAATATATTAGGTTTAGAAGTACTTGCCTCATAAATATTTGCTGGATGAATGAATGGATGGATGGATGAGCAAATACAACTTTTTTCTCTTCACTGCTAATTCTAGAAACAAAATGAAAGCTCAAAGTTTGCTGGTGACCCAATCTGGAAGATTTCTCCACTGGGTTTTGGAGGCAGAGTGGACGACCAGGTTTTGTCTGCATCATGTCACTGAATGGTCCCCTGTCTGCCAACAGATAAGAAATGTCAACAGCTTAACCTGTAGCTTTCAAAAATAGCATAGTTGACGAAACGGGAAATTTAGGTGCGTGCTAGAAATAAACCATTTGTCTTCTGTCTGAAGAAGGATAGACTGACAACAGACATCTGACCAGAGACTTAAACATCTTTTTAAGGTCCATTTAAATGAAGAAGTAAATAGTAGAAGTTTTTTTTTTTTCTCTCTGAGGTAGAAATAGAATATCTTATTGTCAATGAATCAAATAAATCATTTGAAGTCTCTAAGATTTTGTGTGGCAAGGTCCTATGTTTCTTTAAGAGTTCAGTCAAGTTTTGTTTTTTCCCCAATAGTGCTGACAGTTTTCCTTCCAGTTTAAATGAGTATTTGCACAGTGAACCAAGTTGTTGTGGGTTTCCTTGTTTGTATACTCACCCCCCCAACCCCCCCCCCACACCTCCCTCCTGTAAGTGGGGTGGGGGTGTGGCAATGCAGGCGGCAATGCAGGCGCCAGGTTTTCATCCCTTTGCAGACAACTGCAGAAGCTCCTGACGCTGGAAATAGCCCACAGACGAGCGGCCCTACCCAGCAGCTGAGATTCTTTCCCTCCCTTATTTGCCTTCTTTCTTGCCTTTTTCCCCTTCAGACACTTGGATTGGACTTAATCTTAAACCTCTGGAGTTCAAGACCTTTTAAAAAAGGGCTAAGCAAACAATCTCTACATGTAAAAGGCCACTGACTCCTACTTCCTCTGTTTAGAGCAACTGTTGAACCCAGCTGACTGTAAGTAAGATTACTTTTTTACTCTGAAATTATTTAATTGGCTTCCGATATGTTTATGACAAAAGTTTTTAATATAACTTATTTATAGTGAAAATAAGTAGAATCCGCGAGCGATGGCTAGGTAAATCCTGTGTTCCAGCGCACAGCAGTGGCGTGGAGGCATTTCTGTGGCTGTGATTTTAAACTTTGTTTAAAATGACCTGCCACTCGGACGTCGCGCGGTGGTTGAGCCCTGCCATCGGAACACTAATCAAGCTGCCTGTCAGAGCAGTGACAGGACCTTGCAGACATCATCACCCCTGGGTTGTTTAGACTGCTCGCTTATTTTTAACTCGCATTTGTTTCTTAAAAAAGAAAAAGACGCAACCACCTAAGTGAAGGAAATACATTAGCGGTGGTTCAGGTGGGACAATGAAGTGGCTCTGATTTACTGTATCCTCCTTCAGCAGTGCTTTGCTTCTTGCTAGTGTAGAATTAGAAGATTGTTGGGTGTGTGTTCTGCTTGATGTATATTCTGAACATAAACGGGACTGAGCTTTGCACATTCCTTACCTTGCTGGATGTTTGTTACTGGCAGGTTTCTCTAGCATGAAAGGAAAAGTTTAGGATGTGTTTTATGCCTCTGCTCTCCTCTTCCTATGCCTGCACTTGACATTTTGCAAAGAACTTTGATCTGTGGACTTTAACTTCAAACAGCCTTTAATTTGATTGTGGGTGTTTACCATGACCAGGAAAAAATCTTTGTCTTTTTGTTCTGGTGGTGGTGTGATGCTTTTATATCATTTCTTTCAAATAATCAGGTGCACTGCGGCTTTCCTCACTGATATGTCTTCGTTGATACTTGTCCAGGGGATTCCCTGTGTCCCATGAAAGGGAAAGACTGTTTTATAGCAAGGCTCTCTGCCCTATAGATTTTATGACAACTCCGCTCCCCTTTGCACTGATGCTAGAGCCAGGAGCAAATGACAGTGCACAGAGCTGGCCAGGCAGGCCCTCCCTGGAGTGGCCTGCTGCCTCCAAATTACCATGTGCCTTGGGGCTAACTGTTGCTTTTTTAATGTGGAAACTGAAATGCTTGGAATTTAAAGATTCTGGTTTCCAAAGAAGTTTATTGGTATCACAGACCACATGTCAAAAGAAAACATACATTTTAAACACATAGTGATCTTCTTTAAAGATGATCACTTTAAAAAAGAAGAAGAAAAAATAATAATAATAAAAAGAAAAGAATCTTTAGAAAAAAGGAAAACCGAATAAGATGAAAACGTTTGAGGTCAAGCTGACTAGTGAAACTTGTAAGAGGGAATGGGGGGAAATATTTCCTGAAATAGGCAAAATATAGCACTTTCTAGCTATTAGGCTTTAGATGTTTTCTTTATTCTAATAAAACTCATGGTTATATTGTACTTGTTTGGCGCACCAGCAGAGGGTGTTTTCAGAGTCCTTAGCCGGGGTCTGGCTTGGACGGTCCTGGCAAGCTGTCCCTGCACATTTTGTTGATGGTTCGGAGCAGAACAGGCCTAATCCTGTCAGGAGACTAAATCCAGTCAAGAACTGTGGCTCCTTAGAGCTGACACTGTCTGCTGTCTCTACTTTGCACCTTGCTAAGAAGGAAGGAAGCCAAGTGGCCACTGCACAAGTTTCCAGAGTGGCTGAGCTGTGGAGTGGACCCTCCAGATTAGCGGCCGATTTGCCATCATGTCTAAAAGTTGGATTAAAAGTAGAGAAACCAGGCCCTCCCTGGTGGTGCAGCGGGTTAAAGCCCAACACTAAGAAACTAAAGCCACTTCCGCATGAGCTCGATCCCCACCTGCCCTGGAGGTGACCACATGGCGGTGGACCCCTCCTGACCTGCCCGCTGCTCCCCTCAGCAGTGTGCTTCGCCAGTCGTCAGTCGGCCTGTTCTGATCCCCACTCTGTCTCTGGTGAAGCCTCTCACCACCCCTAAGCCTCTGGCCTGCACCCCAGTTCTGTATGCACAAATAAATAAATCTTAAAAAAAAAAAAGTAGAAAAAGCTAGGGGCCTTCACTAGTGACGCAACGTGTTGGAGCACAGCACAGCACAGCACAGTGAAGCTGGCCATGACCACTTCAGCACAAGTTCGATCCCTGCCCCGGAGGTAACCCACATGGCGCAGCAGACCTCTCCTGACCCGCCCGCTGCTCCCTTCAGCCTTGTACTTCATCGATCTGTTTCTTCTGCTTCCTACTTTGTCTCTGGTGAACTCTCTCACCAACCCCTGCATCTCTGGCCTGTACCTAGCTCTGTATGCATAAATAAATAAAATCTTAAAAAAAAAAAAAAGTAGGAAAACCTAGAGATGTTAGTTAATGTTTTTTTTCTTTACAAAACTTAGACATTCAACAGTTAACCCCCTCTGGAATCTTCACTCTAAGAAGGATATTAACCACCACACTTCTGTCTTGTGTGCCCAGTCAAAATTTTAAAACCTCCAAATTTTTTCTTCAAAGATATATTTATTTGTGCATACAGAACTAGGTCAGAGATGCAGGGATGGTGAGAAGATTCACCAGAGACAGAGTGGGGAGCAGAACAGGCTGACTGACAAAGTACACTGCTGAGGGGAGCAGTGGGTGGATCAGAAAAGGTCTGCCGCGCCATGTGGTCACCTCCAGGGCGGGGATCAAACTCATGCTGAAGTGGCATTAGCTGCTCAGTGCTGTGCTTTAACCTGCTGCACCACCAGGGAGGGCCCCTCCAAATACTTTAAGTATGCACTTCACTGAGGGGTCTAGATCAGTCTCCCCCTCACTAGGAGGGAGCCTTGACAGGTACTGCTCTCCAGCAGTACAAATACCAAGTTGCCAGATTGGAAGGTGTTTAACAGCCATGTTCCCAGCCCAGGCGTTTCTCACTCCTTTTGTTGTTTTATATTTATTTTTCTTTGTTTCTCTTCACCCTCTCATTTTACTCTTGAAACTTTGGATTGTTTCAATGTGAAACTCCAGGTGAAACCAAGCCAAAGCCACTGAGTATCACACAGGTTCCACATGAAAGAAGGATTCTATCCAACCTTGCTCGAAACTTGGCCCATGTTTTGCCAAAAGTTTCGTGAATGTCAGCGAGCCTGGATTTGAAACATAATCCAGAACCAGGTGACTTCTGATGTCTTCGAGGCTGTGTGGTAGAAGCAGAGAGTCTGTTAAGAGGGTCATCCCTGAGTTTCATATCGTCTACTGTAATTTCATGAGTAAACACATTTTTCCCCAATAAACTGTCATTTGTTCTGTGATATTTGAAAGAGAGATTCAATCCTAACATGAATTTTTATAGCCATGGTATTTAAGCACTGGCAAATACAAGTCTGCATTTTAAATTCCAACACATTCTGAGCCACAGTGGTGTGAACATGTTGGGATCATTCAGCAGGAGGAAGGAAGTCCCAGGAGAGTCATGGAATGTCATTCTTTGCTTAAATATTCCTCCGTGTTCCTGAGGAACAAACAGTAACATTTTGTCCAAGCCTATCCGCTTGACAGTATGCCTTTTGTTCCTTCTCCAAAGGTGGTGTCAAATATATTGGTGGAAAAATAATAAACTTCCAGATTTGGGGGAGGAAGGTGGTCTGTTCAACTGATATATCCTAGGGGACATGTGAGCATTGAAAAGTCCAATACTATTACTTGTAATGTAATGTATACTGAGAAAAGGGGGTACTCAACAGTCAATTTCCTTCAGAAAAACTTGGTGACTTAGAGCTCAGTGGTGGTATTAGGAGTCAGAGGGGGCTGGGTTGTGAAGGCGTCTGAGTGTTTAAGTGAGGACAGAGGTTGGCAGAGAGGAAGAGGGGATTTGTAGGCTTTGTTCAGTGAATCTGTCACATCTAAAACAAAAATAACCAAACCTATGATCTGAAAACATTCCATCCTGGTGTTGATCATGTTAATTTGTATTGGCTGAGTACTGCATTTTTTTTGGTATTATTTTTCTCATTAAAGACACCAAAGACTACATTCTGATCATTAGGTTTCCAGAAATGGTAAATAATCTCCTATGAAAATATGACCAATCCGGTGACCTACATAGTTGGGGATAAACTTCCATGTGCCATCTCAGAAGACTCTCTGTGGTTCTTGACTATTATAAATGCTCAGTCACCCAGGAAATCAGGATTTGGTGGATCATTTTATTAGCTGGAGGATTTCTGAGTTCCTCTGGAAAATTTTCATGAGGTTGAATTTGTGACCTCAAGAAAGATTTAGTCAGGCTCACTTTAGTGCGATTTATTGATAGCTATTAATTAGAATTAAATTGCCATCAAATTTCATTTTGGAAATTTTAGTCATATTTTTATCTAATAAACTAGACTATTAAAGATACTGTTTGCATTTTAGCAGCTAACTTGCAAAATGACTAGTAATTGACCCCATAGTCAGTAAAGCATTTGAAAAGTGGCACTAAGCAAATTTTGCTGTCCTGTGTACCAGCTGCATTTTAATATTGACTTGGCTATTGCTGTTGCAGTATGTGTCTGGCTATCTGATTTCACCCAAAGTTGTACAATGAACAGGGGAAAGGAAATGTTCCAGTGGAAATGCTGGAGGAAATAAGGGAAAGCAACTCAGCACCATCCTGCAGGAAGCTGCCCCCTAAACAAGTCTAGTTATACAGAATATTGAGACACAATCTTGTCTATTACAACAGAGGTAAAAAAGAAAGGTAAAAGTAGCAGATTGAAAAGAAACACCAAATGTGAGCATAATCAAATGTGTCCTTAGGACGTAAAAAGACCTTTAAGAATGACCTCACATGGGCCCTCCCTGATGGCACAAAGCATTAAAGCACAACACCATATCCGCAGCCAGGAAGGTGACCCACACGGCACAGCAGACCTCTCCTGTCTCCCCCTCTGCTCCTCTCAGCATTGTATTTCAGTTGATCTGCCTGTTCTGCTCCCCACTCTGTCTCTAGCGAATTCTCTCACACTCTGCACCTCTAGCCTATACCCCAGTTCTTGTGTGCATAAATAAATAAATG